TGTTTGAGTTGAGTATCTGGCAGCAAACAGATAATATTGGAAAAGGGAGGAGGGTATTAATTGCCTTATGAGGTGATTGTAGGTATTACTAAATTTGTTGGCATACTAGAACTCACTAGATGGTAGTATCTGAGAGATTTGCTGCTGTGTGCAATCTCAGACTTTCTCTGGTGAGGGTTTTGTGTTCTGTTGCAGTCAACATAGCCATTGGTCTCATCTGCCCTTTGAAGGGATACTGCACCACACACGATTTTTTAGCATCTACTATTGACCACTTTTTAAAAAATAAATGTTTATTCATTTTTGAGGGAGAGAGCATGAGCAGAGTGGGGGCAGAGAGAAAGGGGGACAGAAGATCTGAAGTGGGCTCTGCACTGGCAGCAGTGAGCCCGATGTGGGGCTCAAACTCATGAAGCGTGCGATCGTGAGTTAAGTTGATGGACACTCAACCCACTGAGCCATCCAGGCGCCCCTACCATTGATCACTTGAGCAATGCCTCACCTGAATGATCACATCTTCTCAGTGATGACATACTTCATTATCCATCACCAAAAAGTCACATTTGTTAACATCACCACTCATCTCATCAGAAAAGTCTTTAAGTCTTGAGAAGCTGTTGGCATGGTGGCACGTCACATCTGCCGAAATTCTCACTTTTGTTTGAGAGCTCAAGTTTTATCATCGACAACCAATATGGTCAGTTGTTTCTCAGAAGGAACAGGCTCACTTAGTTCATTTGTGGACTTAGTAGTTTGCCAGGTACCTCGGTTAATACATTAGTCACTTGTCTGTCAAGTACACGTGGTATTCTGTGGCAAAAGTGGCTAGTTTAGCTTGCAACTCAAATGGTCACGCAAATGTCTTTCGTCAAGATAGCCTTTGTTCTTTGGTATGCAGCAAAAGAGCTTTCAATGTGCCTCCATTTAAAAAAAAATATATGTCTTCGGGATCAAGTTTTAATAAAATTAATAATTCTTACTGCTTCATCAAGGACATTCGGAAGCAAAACTGTGCCCTCCCCCTTTGTTTGTTTGTTTGTTCTTTCAAGAACAAGTACATGGTGTCAAGAACATGACGACTAATATGGTTTGACGCCTCTGCCTGGATTTCTGCTAAGATGGTCAGCATTTTTCTCTGCGTTGCTTTCGTACCAACGGTGAAAATACACAGTAAAAAAGGCAAATAGCATCATAGCATTATTATGAAAATAGTTTTCCTCACGGATCCCCTGAAATGATATTGCTGGCAGTAGTGGCGACAGCTAGCATTTCCGAGCAATGTGTTTATGCTACATACTCCAGAACTTTAGCTCATTTAGTCTTCCCAACAAGCCCAGGAGGTGCGCCGTGAGTGTGCCAGGAGTATGCGCAGTACCTGGTTCGAGCCAGGTTTGGACTTCAGCAGGGTGGACTTCTGCCCTTAGGGGATGCTGGCAGGGACGGAGAGGGTACTCATGCAGGGGAAACAGCTTGAGCAGAGGCAGGAAGACCAGCCTGTGTGTGGGCTGGGAAGGGAAGCCCCGTGTCAAGGCTTTGCAGGAGGGAGGTGGTAAGAGATGATCGTGGAGAACCTCGGGGGGCATGCTCAGAAGTTAGGGGACCGGGGAAGTTTGGGGCAGGAGACAATATCAGAAGTGGGGTATTCTAGTGTGTCCCCATGTCCCTTTCCCACCCTTGCCCAGCCTTTGCAGTCTCCTCTCTCGCTCTCAGGCATGAGGACATACACATGTGTGATTATGTACATATGGTTCCTGGGTCACCTCCTTTCTCTCCTCCAAGCCCTGGTTCAGCCTCTGCTTCCTCCAGAAATCTTCCTGGACCTTCTCTGGTAGTTCAGGGCCGTGGTGGTCAGGATCATGCCCCCACCCCAAAATGTCTGCATCCTAATTCATAGAACCTGTGAATATCCTAATTCATAGAACCTGTGAACAGGGGAATCAAGGGTGTTAATTAGATGTCCTTGAGATGGGGGGTTCCCCAGGGTTCTCCAGTGAGCCCAGTGTAATCACAAGGGTCTTCCAAAGTAGAAGAGGGGGCAGAAGGAAGGTAAGAAAGAGGGAAGGAAGTGTGATGACAGAACAGAGACTCGGTGTGAGGATTTCAACCCACATTGCTGGCTTTGTAGACGGAGGCAGGGGCCACGAGCCAAGGAATGGGGGGGGGGGGCACCTGTAGAGGCTGGAAGAGGCCAGGAAACAGACTCTCCCCGAGAGCCTCCAGAAGGAACGTTGCCTAGATTTTAGCCCCCCAAGACCCATTGCAGATTTCTGACTCCAGAACTCGAAGACAAAAAATACGTATGGTTTTAAGCCACTAAATTTGTAGTAGTTTGTTAGAGCAGGAGGAGGAAGCTGAGAAGGACCTCTCCTCCCTGGACTTCTCAGCCCCAGATGCTGATCCCTGTCAGGACTTAGCATGTAGTGAGGGACGTCGGTTTCCTATCTGGGACTTAGCATGTAGTGAGGGACGCCTGCCAGGCTCCCGCAGGTCACGGCACCCAGCACAGAGCTGGCCTCGTTAGCTCAACAAAGCAGGTAACCATCAAGTGAGGAGAAACGATGCCTGAGTTTCTCCTCTTCCGCAGGAGTAAGGCCTGTTGGGACCTTTTCCCGGCCTCAGAATGGGGCCTTTTCCTTTCCTTGCCCTGGACCAAGCTCTTAGAAGGAACTGAGCCTTATTGAATTTACTTATTCAACAAACTGAAAACCTCCCCACACTAGGATCTGTGCTGATGGCTCAGAATTCAGGGGCAAATCAGACCCAGGTCCTGCCCAGAACCAGTGACGTGCCTAGAACCCACAAAACACTCAGTGCAAGTTAGTTGAATAATATTTTTCTTTCAATGCAACCAGACCTGTAGATGAGCATGTGTGCCACAGATGTTCCTGCTTCGGAGAGTTCTAGGGCACAGAGACTGTCTCAGACCTGGGGCAGGGGGGGACACCGGTGCCCTTTACATTCCCAGTGGGCGTGGCCGTGCCCTGGCTGCCACTGCAAACGTAACCAGGCCTGCAGACGGTGGGGTGGAGTAGAGTAGAATGATGTGTCATCGATGCCGGGATGGCTCTGCCCCCCTGCTTCCTCACACACACATCCTTGTCTCCCCAGCGCCATGTGGGTTGGAAAAGCAACCTGACGTTTCCTGCTTCCCTTCCCACGTGCACACTCCATGCTCTGTTTCGTGCCTTCCTTCAAAGACGTGTTCATCCTCTGGGCACCTCATCACCCTGGATTGAATGTGTGTGTTCCTCCTCCGGAAGTCGTGTGCACAACACTACCACATCTCTTGGGCCCCAGATCCAGCCTGGTGGCCGTTGGGGCTCCTGCAGGGGGCACACCCGGAGCCAGCACCTCTGACCCACAGCCCCGACACGGAAGCCTCTTAGCTGCTGAGTCTTAGGACTTAGCGGAAGTTTCCAGAGAGTTTCAACTCTGCAAAAGGAAGACAAAAGGTCTTCCTAATAGACTACTGACCACTTTTAACTATTGTTAACAGATTTGAAGGCATCTTAGGCTCCAAATTTGATCCAGTTGAAAATAATTTATGGTCAGGCGGAAGAAGTGCCCAGAACCTTTGCTGTTCTGTTGCAGCTGTTGGCTGGGCCATTTGTCTCCAGGGGTTTTGCTGTTTCACACGGTGGCTGGATTCCTAAAAAGGGCACAAGCCCGAATGCACGAGTAATTAAAACATTATAATAAATAAATAAATATTTATACATATAAATATTTAAGTTTGTTAAAGAAATACTAAATAACTTATTAAAAGTAAATATTCATTTGCTTCTAGAAATAAGTATTCTTGTGTCTGAGATGTGCAGAAATGCTGCAGAGCCCCTGTGTCCCCACCTTCCTTCATTGTCAGCATCATAGCCTATCTGGTACGGTACACAGGCACTTTACAAGCCGTTTTATTTTTATTTCTTTACCTTCTTAATGTTTTATTTATTTTGGGGAAAGAGACAGAGTACAGGAGGGGGAGGGACAGAGAGGGAGAGACCCATTTATTTACTTTTTTAATGTTTTATTTATTTTTGAGAAAGAGAGTACAGGAGGGGGAGGGACAGAGACCCAGAATCCGAAGCAGGCTCCAGGCCCTGAGCTGTCAGCACAGAGCCCGACGCGGGACTTGATCTTGTGAACCGCGAGATCCTGACCTGAGCCGAAGTCAGATGCTTAACCGACTGAGCCGCCCAGTGGACCCAGAAGTCCTTTTTATGAGTCATGTTTGCTGATGTCTCATTGGCCAGAGCACGTCACATGGCCATGCCCAGCCTCACGTCGGGTGGGGACTCCACTGGGCTGTGGATATAGAGAGGTGGGCTCGTCGCAGCTGTTTCTGTGGTTCTGCCCCAGAGAGCATTGTAAATGGAATCATTTCCAGACTCTGCCCTCGGGTCGGGGCCCTGGTGACTGACAACGTATTGCAGCCACTTTGCCCCTTTGGCTGTTTTGCTTTTTATCAGTCTCTGTACCTGAGGGACTGATGTCCTCGTCTGCGGATTTTCACACTGAGTCGTCCCCTCTGTGAGTTGGAAAGTCAGTCCGCCCCGAATCTCCACCACCCCTTCCCCAACAAGGGCCCTTCTGACTGTTGTCCCACACTTCGGGTTCAATTCTCAGTAGATTTTACTACAATTAGTGTTCTAGTTATGGAAATCTTCCATTTATTCTGAGAAAAACCGAAAGACTCGTTTGTTTGGAAATTCACAGACACCCTCTTGGACTCACCCCTACATACCTGGTGCGGGTTCTCGAAGCAGGTACAGAGCCCAACCGCTTTCATTCAGAAAAAAAGAAACCGTGTGCACCCATTTTACAGGTGGGATGACTGAGGTACAACTGGGGCGGGTTGCTTTTGAGTAGTAACCATTGCAGCTGATAATTATTTAGCACTTGGAATGTGCCGGACTCTGCTTCTTCATGTTTGTTTATTTTGAGAGTGAGCAGGGGAGGGACGGAGAGAGAGGAAGACAGAATCCCAAGCAGGCTCCACGCTGTCAGCCCAGAGCCTGATGCAGGGTTTGATCTCACAAACTGTGAAATCATAACCTAAGCAGAAATCAAAAGTCAGAGGCTTAACTGACTGAGGGGCGGGGCCCCCCCAGCGCCCCTGATCTCTTCTAATCGCTTTGCCTGGGTGAACTCACTAATCTCCCAACAGCTCTGCTAGATGGGTGGTGTTCATTGGCCTCAGTTTCCCCGTCTGCGGCATGGGCGCGAGAGAGATGAAGGAATTTTTCTGCGATCTCCTGGATGGTAGGTTTTGGAACCAAGACCTGGTCTCCGCTGAGTCTGGTTTCCAAACCTCTATTCTTTGCAGATTCTTAGCGGATACTTCGTTGATTCTTCAGGTGTTAGGGGCAGAGGAAGTAAAGAAAGAGGAGCGGTCTGGATGTGGAAGCACATCAGAGGCCCCTTGAGATACCGGAGCCCCCCTCCCCTTTTAGAAAGTTTGCATACGACCCACATGAGTACCTGGTTTCACTAACTGGAAGAAATCCAAAGAGGATTTCCACGTTTACCAAAAAAAAAAAAAAAAAAAAGACGAAAGGCAAAAATAGCGTTGGGCGTTTGTTTTGCAGCCAGCCCCTACAGGGGCAGCACGCACCCCAGGCAGCCCGTGCGGCCCCACCCAGCTCCTTGCCTGGGGACTCCGTGCAGCATCTCAGCATCCAGCCTTTGAACCACATCTGGGAGCATCTATGCTTTGTCTCCATTTGTGTTGTGCGTCCACTAGCAAGCTGTGTCCTAAGGTATCAGAAAAACCTGAGAGAGGTTACTTTTGGGGGTCCGGGCACGCTCACAGAGTTTTCCACACACGTTAATGGCAGTTGCCTCTTTGCCTTACATCATTTTGGCTCACCCCGGGTTTCATAGGAACGCTCCGCTTTCGGAGAGCGGGGGGAGACCTGTGCCAGGATCTGGGCACGCGTTCCCAGTCTTGGCTGGGGAAGTTGTTCCAGGGAATAAAGGCGGGTCTTGGCCACACAGGCCAGGAGCTTCTTGTCCTGTCCTTCCTTGTTCCCTCCAGGGTTCCGTGACCACCCTGCAGCCCTGGGAGACGCCAGCGGTCTCAGCGGCCGCAGAGGCTGTGTTCAAGGTATGAGCAAGGGCTGCAGACCTTGAGCCCCTGCTTTACGTGACCCCTCACTCCCTTCCCAGGAAGGGTTGGGGATTGATCGGCTGAAAGGGGACGAACGGACCCGGTGTGAGAAAAGCCACGTTCTCGAGCTGCCTTTCAAATGGCATTGCCCAAGACCCCATTAAATTCTGCTTGGAGCCGTGGCCTCTGTCACGGTGGAGGTCCCAAGCCCACCTTGCCCTGACAGGGTCACGACACGGCCCTGAGCCTGTAGCAGGAAAGCGAAAGCCACACTGGCCTCTGTCCTGGGAGGAGAGCTTTGCTATGAGCGAGGGAGGGGTTTTCTTCAGAGTTGCAGGGACCCTTGCTCGGCCGGGGTGAGCACTGGCCCCAGAGGGCCGTGGACATGGGCCAAGTCTGACAGGGGCCTCAACCATGATTCTCCTCGGCCCTGGTCGACTCCTCGGGGGTGGGGGTAAGGTCCTTCCTGTAAGAGTGGCTCCGCTGATGTTTGATCAGGCACGGACAAAGCGGGGCTTCGCGGCCACGACTGAAACACAGGCGAAGCGGGTAGGGAACAGGGGTGGCACCTTTTCACTCAGATTTAGCAAGCCTCATCCGGGACCTCCTGGGGTTATTAGCCCCGTGCTGAGCCCTCCACACGTCTTCGTTTTCTGGTAACCTCCGAACAACCCCATGACACAGGTAGAGTGAGCCTGGCTTTACAGTTGGGGAAACCGAGGCGCCAAGAGTATCTTGCCGCTGCAGGTCTCAGCTTTGGAACTTGACCCAGATCCGTTGCTACCACACCAGGGTTAGTTTTTGCTCAACGGAAATCTCTTCAGTCTTCGTAAAATCATACCCCACTCACTTGTCTATTTAACAAACGCTTGTGGAGATCTATTTGCCAGGCATCGTTCTGGGCCCTCGGGGTAGGTCTGTGAGCAAAACAGACAAACGGTCCCTTGGTCATGGAGCTGATGTTCTAGAAGAGTGCGCCAGTTGATAACTGACGTATAACAAACTGGCCCCAAATCTTAGTGGCATAAAACAACCACCAGTGTCCTTATATGTCATGATTTTGTGTCGGGGACTTAGCGGGGCTCAACTGGACAGGTCTGCACTTGCGTGTGGTGTCAGCGGGGTCCCGCCGTGGGGGACCCTTCCGCCAGAGTCCAGGACGGCTGCCCTCACGTCTCATGCCTTGGGGTGGGGGAGGCGGGGGTGGGTCTCAGCTGGAAACAATAACCAGAGCACCCGCGTGGTGGTCAGGCCTTGCACGTGGAGACTTAGGGCCCCTCGCAGAGAGGGTCCTCCTGCACGCTTCTTATGGCCTGGCCTCAGACGTCACTTGGCGTCACCTCTACCACATTCTGTCGGTGACGGGCCGGCCACAAGGCTAGCCAGGCCCCACGCTGTAAAGAGCACGCGGTATGGGAGACACTATTGGGTCCATCTTTGCAAAAATACCATCTGCCACAGAGGAGAGGGAGAAGAAGGCCAGCGATCGAGAATGAACAGAGTAGAAATTAAATCGCCCAACTTGGAAGATTTTGAAGGACCACGGGAACGCGGATGTTTTACAGCCGGGTGAGATGTGACCCAGCCATTCCCTCCCCGGTGTTTGCTCACCTGGGAGATAATGTATCCGCACCAAGACCGGCCCAGAAATGGCGGTAGCCGTTTTGTGCATCATCGCTCCAAAAGCAGGAAGGAGCCCAGATGTCCGACAGATGCAGGGAATCCGGTGCATCCTCTGGTGGAATCCTACTCGGCAGTAAAGCCACAAACTACTGATCCACGTCGCCGCATGGTGGGTCTCAACATAATCACGCTGAGCGACAGAGCCCAGAGAGGAGAAGAGCGTATCCCGGATGATTCCATTTACATGAAACTCTAGCAAATGAAAAGGAATCTGTAAGGTCAGAGGGATGAGTGGTTGCCTGGGGCGGAAGGAAGGACAGGAGCGTGGCTCACAAACGGGGGGAGGAGACTTGGGGGTGTTGGATGTGTTCGCTGTCTTCATTGTGGGTGATGGTTTCTCGGGGGAGGCGTATGTTCCCGACCGTCTCTGACGGTGCATATTAAATAACGTGCACTTACAATCATTGAAGCCATATTTAAAGGGGGGTAGGTGAATGAGGGGTCCTGGGGATGTTGCGTTTTGGGGTGGGCAGTATTTCCCAGTACCCCATAGGCCACATGGCTCAGGCAGACTCCAGCTTTGCCTCCTTATCCCGCACGCCGGCCTCAGCGGGCCACGGAGGGGACCCGGCCCCGGGTGGGCAGCGTCCGGCCCGTCCAGGCAGAGCCTTGAGCTGTCAAGGCCCCAGCACGCGGGGCTCCTGGGCTCACATTCCAGAAACAGGCAGAGACCAGAGAGGTCCGGGTCTGTGTGACTGTGGCCTGGGCTTCTGGCCCAGCTCTTTAAATAGCTCCAGCCACCTGGACTGGCCGGTGCCTAAGACACAAGGTGCTGCTACCCGCCAGGCAAGCTGGGCAGGCCTTTGTGCCCGAGCCCAGCGTGTGGGCACAACAGGAGGAGAGGCATTTTTTGGCACTCAGAATAATGTAGAAATTTAGAAAGGAGCATTCTAATTCTGCTCAGGGTCAGGTACTACGATAGAGAAAAGATGGAGGTGAACATCTGATGGTTCAGTAATATTTTTTTTAAGTTTATTATTTATTTGATAGAGAGCATAAGTCAGGAAGGGCAGAGAGAGAGAGAGAGAGAGAGAGAGGGAAAGAAAGAATCCCAAGCAGGCTCTGTGCTGACAGCACAGAGCCCAATGTGGGGCTCGAACCCACGAACTATTAGATCATAACCTGAGCTGAAATCAAGAGTCAGACACTTAACTGAGCCACCCAGGCACCCCGGCTCCATAATATTTTTAAAAATAATATACGCATTTAATGTATACGTAATTAAAATACATATTTACTGAATTTTTTTTTTAATTTTTTTTTAACGTTTATTTCTTTTTAAGACAGAGAGAGACAGAGCATGAACGGGGGAGGATCAGAGAGAGGGAGACACAGAATCGGAAACAGGCTCCAGGCTCTGAGCTGCCAGCACAGAGCCCGACACGGGGCTCGAACTCACGGACCGTGAGATCATGACCTGAGCCGAAGTCGGCTGCTCAACCGACTGAGCCACCCAGGCGCCCCTGAATGTTTTTAAAGAATTTTTTTAATGTTTATTTATTTTTGAGAGAAAGAGAGACAGAGTGGGAGCAGGGTAGGGGCAGAGAGGGAGACACAGAATCCAAAGCAGGCTCCAGGCTCTGAGCTGTTAGCACAGAGCCTGATGTGGGGCTCGAACTCGCGAACCTCAAGATCATGACCTGAAGTTGGATGCTTAACCGACTGAACCCCCCAGGTGCCCCTTTACTGAACACTTTTATAGGCCAGGAATGCATGGGCTGTAAATCCCATACATTGTCTCGGATAATCCTCCCCGTTTTTTAGACAAGAAGACTGACGGAGCAGTAGCCTCCTGAAAGGCGGAATTTAAACCCAGGAAGGCATGGGTGGCTCTAGGGCCTGCGTGACTTCGCCCGTGGGTCCCGCTGCTGTTTGCTTAAGTGGTTAACAGTTGGTTTTTACGACGAATCATTCGTGACATGGCTCCTGGAGTGAGGCTGGGCCTGTGGGTCAGAGGCAGGGGGGCACCTTGGAGCGGGCAGTCGGGAGGCCAGGGCTCTCCGTCAGGCTTGCCCCTGACCTCTGCAGGCCTCGTCTGGAAAACGGGCGGGTTGGGCCGAGGGTTGTGACAAGTCCCACTGGAATGTGAGCCGCATACTCAGAACACAGGGGGAAAGCACCTCCCGGAAAGCCAGACAGAAGCTTGACGCCACAACCGGCTGCCTGCCTGTCGCCGGTCACAGAGAGTGCTGCGGGGCCTGCCACTTTGACCCCGGCCCAGAGAGAAGCTTCGGGGCCCACACGCAACAGCCCAACCTGGAAGCCCTTAGCCCGCTGACCTCTGCAGCCCCTGAACTCTGGACAAGTTGCCCACCCATGCGCTTTGGATCGTGAAGATCTACAAGAATCGTTCTGACTCAGGCCTTGCCAGCAGAACTCGGTGCCCAAGGAAAGAAAGAGTCTTCAGCAGGACCCCATGGGCTCAGGCAGAAGAAGGGGGCCGGCCCAGGACTGGTCCGTGTCCCCAGCGCCTGCCGAGCCCCAGGAAGAGGCTGTGCTGTGCTTCCCTCGGTAGGTTCTGTCCTGGATTCGGGGCCCAGCTAGACGCGGCTAGAGGGTCGGCCTTCCTGGTGCCCTTGACCCTTCTCTCTCCCACCGGGTGTTGGGCAAGGGGCTCAAAAAATGGGTCCTGAGGTGAAGGCATAAGATTGAAAACCCCGTGAAGGCTTCAGGGACTGTCGCTGAAGGCGGCTGTTGACTCAACATTTTAAGGCCAGGAGCGCCCTGAGGTCAGGGTCTGGAGTATGTTATCTCTGCCTCTCGGGGGTTTTTCCCATTCCTGCTGCTATACGGCAGTTAGCAGGGCTGGCGAAAGAGGGACCGAGCAGGGACGAGATGCTTGCTGGGCCCCCAGGGCTGGGGAAGTGCAGAGCGAGGGCCCACACCCCACAGGTACATGCCCACGGCCGGTCACAGATTCCGGAAGGTCCTCGTGCTCGGGTGGCATTCCCCAGGCTGGGTTTCCTGGTTGTAGGACCTGTCGGTGTCATCCTGAGCGCTGACCTTTGTCTCCCACACGGGGACCAGGGGAACGCGTCACTGCCTCTGAGTCATTTAAGGAATCTGTGCACTGGCTGAGCACCAGTGTCACTGGAGAAAAAAGGGCCCCTGTCTTTCTTCCTCGTAGTTCAGGTGACTGCAGATTGGGGGAAACTTGCTTCCTTCTTGGGCAGAAAGGTCGGGGATGGCCCTGGGTGGCTTCCCGGGGGAGGTGGGCGGATGGGGACTGGGGGGTCTCTGGCCAGACCCACCAGAGCGGGGCCATTGGCAGCTGGAGCTCTCAGAGGAGCGTGGCTTTGGAGACCACTAGTCGCACGCCGACCAGGACTGTTCAGGGGCCGGCTGAGCGTTGACCTCTCACGGCTCACCTGCGCAGGGCTGAGTGTTGGCTGGCGGCAGGTAAGCCTCGAACCCGCCGTGAGGCGCGTGTCCAGGTAAAGAGCAGAAGAATGAGCTGGTCGGTGGGGCATCTGGGGGGCTCAGTCGGTTAAGCGTTCGACTTCGGCTCAGGTCACGACCTCACGGGTCGTGGGTTCGAGCCCCGCGTCGGGCTCTGTGCCGACAGCTCGGATCCGGGAGCCCGCTTCGGATTCTGTGTCTCCCTCTCTCTCTGCCCCTCCCCCACCCCCGCTCGGTCTCTTTCTTGCTCTCAAAAATCAACATTTTTAAAAATGTTCTACTTTAAAAGAAGAAGAAGAATGAGCTGGTGGGTGATGTCTTGCTGAATGTCGGGGTTTTCCAAAGCACCTGATGACAGGTTGATAAATGAGGATGGTGAGGAGTCAGTCGGAGGCTTGTGGTCCCACGGATGGGAATGTTGTGTCTCCTCTTTGGATGAGAAGTCGGTAAAGCCCCCCCTTCACCTCTTTGGGATCTTCCATGCCCACCAGGGAACCCCTGAAGGCAGTGTTCTTCTATTCTTGGATTTCTTTTCATCCGAGAGGGTTTCTGCCTCCCACTCTTCTGAAGGTCCACGCTCCCCGCCCCCAGGCTGCCAGCACATTTGAGGGGCAGTTTCACGTTGGCGATGGATGGCCACTGGGCATCCTGGGGGTTCTGCTGTAGGCTGTTGTCATATGGTCTGGAGGCTCCGCTTGCCACGGGGGCTGGCTGGGGGCGGGGGGGGGGGAGGTGGCCTCGCTCCCCTGCAAGTGTGAGGGCTTTCCTCGGGCAGAGGTGGGCTTTCCAAGCTCCCCCTAGAAGGGCGGGGGGGGGGGTATGATGCCAGGGCACGGTGGCCTCTGTTGCCGTTCAAACGTTGTTGCTAGTAAGTCGGAAAGATGGTGAATAATTTAAGGGTGGGATCTGTGGCTCAAAACAAGGGGGCTTCCTGCCTGCCACGTTTACACTCTATATGATATGAAGGCCAAAAGCAAGGGCAGTGGAGATTTCCCAATTCATAGCGAGCAATTAGGAGACGCTTCTCTAGGGAAGGGAAGGTGCCCCTCTGAGCTTCTGAGTTCAGCCCCAACTCTCAGGAGAGAAGTGACGGCAGGGAGCGTCCAGGAAAGCAACCCGCGGCTCGTGGAATCCTGCCCGCCATCTTACAGGATAGTTCCTAATCTCCCTTCTATGTGTAAAGAGCAGGGGTGCACGAGGCCATGCGGGTGGTAGAGACAGGACCAGGCTCCACTTGAACTTTGGCCAAGTGGCTCAACCTCTCTGTCTCCTGTTGGTGGCCCAGGGATTACAACAGCACCTGCTCTCTGGTCCTGAGGATTTAATGAGAAGATTCGTAGAAAGAGGTTGGGGCAGTAAGTACCCTTGTGTTAAATATCAGTGGCTCCTGGGGCGCCTGGGTGGCGCAGTCGGTTAAGCGTCCGACTTCAGCCAGGCCACGATCTCGCGGTCTGTGAGTTCGAGCCCCGCGTCAGGCTCTGGGCTGATGGCTCAGAGCCTGGAGCCTGTTTCCGATTCTGTGTCTCCCTCTCTCTCTGCCCCTCCCCCGTTCATGCTCTGTCTCTCTCTATCCCAAAAATAAATAAACGTTGAAAAAAAAAAATTTTTTTTTTTTAAAAAATATCAGTGGCTCCCTCTTTATCATTATTCTTGCACTCGGCGTACAGCGACTGTATCATTTATTGTCTAAACTGGGAGGGATTCATAAGAGAAAGAGGGCCTATTAAATAGAGTTCTGAAAAAGACAATAATCCTCAGGTTGTTCCTGGGACATTAGGAGTAAACTGGGACTGTCCCAGGCAGACAGGACCTGTAGCCCTTGACCAACAGGATAGGATCCGAGTAGCTGGACAGGTGTCAGGCAGGCATTCCAGGTCAGGGAATGACACAAACAAAGGTGTGGGGGTGGGATGCTCATGGTACACACGGGTGACCGTGAGGTGGCCGGCCTCAGGGCCCACCTGCCCCACTGGCCCTCCATTGCACCTGACCCTGTCGCCCGGAGCACTTGCTTGCCTCCGTTGCAGGTTCTTCTGTGTTCCTCCGAGACCGCTCATGATATATGAGGACACCACAGGCCACTCGGTTCTTTATGGACCTGAAAAAGACATGATCTTGCCCATGACAGAGAAGTTTGAAAAACACTCCGGTGCTGTGATAGACGGGAGGGAGCGGAGGCAGAGACGTTAGCTATTAAATCACGGAGTGCATCCTCGTTGACACCAGAGGAACGGAGCTTTCAGGTGGTGGCTGCAGGAAGGACGCGGAAGGCAGGGGAAGGGAGGTGGGGTGGCTGGAGGAGGCTCGCATCCCTAGCCTGCGCGGCTTCCGTGTGAAAACCTCAGCAAGAGCACGTGATGCCCTGAGAAGGAGGCGTTTCCAGGCAACTGATGTTCCGCACCCATAGGGCCCCTGTGTCTCCTGGTGGAGCACGGTGTTCTGGGGAGTCAGGTTCCCAGAAGGGCGGAACAGTGGGGTCTAAGAGGTGCTGGGAAAGACTTCCTTTCCCCAGAGAAAGACTGGGGAAGGGAGCCGGGACCTGGAGGCCAGGCTCTGGGGGCGAAGTGACGTTCCCCAGCTAAGCTGGAAGCTAGACCTAGACTCCCCACCCTGGACGCTTAGTGCGGTCCTCGCTTTTGACTGTCTGTGCTCCTAAAAGAGGTTTCTAAACACTTTAATGAAATCTTGACCCAGTAGCGTAGGATCTTAGCTCAAAAAGCGTAGGCCAGTCACCAATCTGGGGATCGTAAATGCGTGTTTTAGACATTTGTGGGGCTCCCACTAGCCTCTGTGGAGACTTGGTGCAAATTAGAAACAGCCATATAGGGGCGCCTGGGTGGCGCAGTCGGTTAAGCGTCCGACTTCAGCCAGGTCACGATCTCGCGGTCCGTGAGTTCGAGCCCCGCGTCGGGCTCTGGGCTGATGGCTCAGAGCCTGGAGCCTATTTCCGATTCTGTCTCCCTCTCTCTCTGCCCCTCCCCTGTTCATGCTCTGTCTCTCTCTGTCCCAAAAAATAAATAAATGTTGAAAAAAAAAATTAAAAAAAAAAAAAGAAACAGCCATATAGACAGATTCAGAAAAAATGTGCCCCTTCCCACTGAACACAGTCCTGCTGCCCTACTAATGCCTCAAGTTTCTCTGAGCCCTTAAAATGCAGCCCTTGGGCGGAGGCGAGCAGGCTTGGGCTTGGGGGTGGGGCCAGGGCTCCCCGCTCATCCCCTCTGAGCCAAGGTTGTTCTCGGCACCCTGCGACCCTGAGGGATGCCCGGCCCGGGGCTGTGACTGTGTGATGGCAAGAGGACTGGAGACACAGTGCTGGATCTTTCCACCACCTGAATTGCTAAAGACGTCTTCCTGTGGCCCCCGAGCTTGGTACGGGAAGCGCAGGTGCTGATGTACGAAAAAGAAGTGCCAATGAATAGCGAAGGCCCGCACAGACACTCTCCAGCCAGCACCCTTGGCCTCTGGCTCGGAGCACTGTGGAGGGAGCTCCTGGCCCCGCGACAGGAGCCTGGCAGCTTGTCCATGATCGTCAGGGCAAAAGGCCAGAACGTTGCTTTTGTCTCTTGAAGACACCAGGGAGCCTTTTTTTCTCCACAAAGGAGAAGGGCACGCTTCTGAGGTTTCTCCAGAGACCCAGAGCTCTCCTCGCCTGTGCACAGAAGCCAGCGTGTCGTTTCAGGCCTCGTTGGTCCGCGGTGTTCATGCCAAGTGGGTGGGCATGGTGACCGTGAATACCACCCCCTGCCCCCGCTAGGATGCCCAGCCCAGCACCTTCAGGATGAGCCCTGGACTTGGCCCCGGGGCCAGAGCCTTCATCCCAGGGCTGGAAGTGTAAGGAATAGATTAAGAAGATACAAATTACACCTGCCCAGAGGTGTCATTGCTCACCTCTCCGGTTGGCAAGAGCACAGAATGGCACCAACACACCTGTAGGGGACTAGCACTCTCACACATGCCTGGCAGAGAGGCAGAATGGTGTGGCCCCAGTGGGGGGAAAGCGAGGCACGGGGAGCAGAATCACATAACGCATTTGCCCATTGATCCACCAGTCCCCCTTCAGAGGGTTTGCCCCGGGAATAAAACACAAATACGCAACAGGTTACCCTATACTCCTCATGGAATATATCCGAAGGCAGAGGGTGCTTGGGTGGCTCAGTCGGTTAAGCGTCCAGCTACGGCTCAGGTCATGATCTCATGGTTTGTGGGTTCAAGCCCCGTGTCGGGTTCTGTGCTGACAACTCAGAGCCTGGAGCCTGCTTTGGATTCTGTGTCTCCCTCTCTGTCTGCCCCTCCTGTACTTGATCTCTCTCTCTCTCTCTCTCTCTCTCTCTCTCTCTCAGAAATTAAAAAAAAAAAAAAAAAAAGGAATACACCCAAAGGCTTAAAAGAACAGAATGGGAAACAAATCTTAGAAGTTTACATAGATTCGTTGGCAGTCCTTCTTGTATAATAACAGTGGACTTATTCTGTGACTACGGAATAGACCAAATAAGTAAAATACTGTTAGGGACCAGGATCGCCTCTGGAACATGGGAATACGGAACGGGGGAAGGTGTTGGATGGGAGTTGGAGGCGTCAGTATGCTCGTGATTTTGTGTGTGTGTGTGTGTGTCATATAATTTACATATATACATTTTATACGCATGTGATTTACGAGTCGAAATCACAGAAAGAAGCAGTGACTTGTGCAGCAATGCACACGCCTGGTGCCCACAGCTCACTGCTGTTCCCCGTGAGAAGGAGCCAGAGCTCCTTGGACCTCAGTGGAGGATCCCGGGTGTGGGGGCGACGGAAAGTAACAAGGTATGACTAGGCCACCCTGTCGTTCTAGAAAGCAAGGATGCGTTCAGAGACAGATGGGTCAGAAACCAGGCACCGGTTGGAAGAGGCGGCTGCTGACGAAGATGAGATACTTTGAACACCCAAAACAATGAGAAAATTAGATTCTCAAGGGGGGAAAGGAGGGGAGGGACGAAAGCTAGTTAGTGTAATTAATTAGAAAGTCACCAGAGTGGGCAAACGGCGTGTGGGCCTCCTGACAGGACACAGGAAGAGGCCACGATGTCACCTGTGGGTTCGTTGGATCGGGAGCAGGCAGCTTCAGTGTCCCCAAAGGACCCACAGAAGGCAAAGGGAACCGCCTAGACTGAAGGACAATCAGGAGCCACAACGAACGGCTCAGTGCAACGTGCGACCCTGTGTGGGATCTCGGACTGGGGGGTGGAGCAGCCGCAGAAGCCGTTCCTGGGGACGATTGGGGCGGCTGGAACGTGGGCTCCGTGTTAGGTAACGTCGCTGCATCGGCCGTGATGCCGCGTGAGACTCGTCAGGCGCTCTCAGGACGGGCCGCCGCCCGAGTGCTGGCCTGCCGGGCTCCGGCAGTTTCGCAGCCCTGCCCTCGCACAGCGCCACTTCCCCCGTACGTGCCCTGCGCTGGCCGAGTGCCGGGAACAGATGTTAATCCTCGTTTGCAGATAGGAGACGCGTGCACGGCGATATTGCCTCTCTTTATGAATATTTTAATATTAAAGCAGCAAATCCCAGAAAGTGCTGACCTGTGGCTTTTCTTGGTTGGCGTATCCCAGGCCAGTTCCACTGGCGGGCTCGCGGCCAGCCAGGGCTCGGTGCACCCATCCCGCCGCAGACGGGGTGCGCAGGACCTCCGAGGGGATGCCACTGTCTTCTTATTCCGGAGTCACTTTGGGAAAGCGGCTCCACTCCGTGTCCGAGCTGTGTGCAAGGGGTGTAGGACTCTGAGGGGGCCCTGGCCGGCCGCCTTCCCGGAGACGGACAGGCACAGGGGACACTGGGCCCCAGGGGCTTTGCCCGCACCTACCGGCTAAGTCATTAGTGGGTCCTCAGCAAGCAGTGGCCGCGGCTGCTTTTCTCTGTTCGGTTGAATCGAGGGCGCAACGGCAGGCACTCGCCAGGTATCAGAAACGCAGAGAGTCATTCATCCCAGAAATAGCGATTGACCCCTGGCCACATGCCAGGCCCGGGGCGAGGTGCCGAGTGTCTCGTGGAGGAGAGAACCAAGTGTCGCCTCCTTCCAGCTCAGCAGTTTAGAGGAGAGTCGAGTCATAAATTAGCGAACAGACGAGAAAGAGAGAAGATAGAAACACGTGCCATAAAGGATGAAAATGGGGGTGGGGGGCATGGAAGATCCTGGGGACGGGGCGAGGGGCTCCTTGGCGTGCGGTGTCAGCGAAGGCCTTTCTGAAGCAGGGGTCTCTCGCGCCACCGATGGGGAGGAGGCAGCTGATGAATCAGGGTGGTGGCGGGAGGGCAGCTCACCGGGAGGGGGACAGGGTGAAGGACAGGGAGAGAGTTGGGGGTGAGGACAGGCAGTTTCGGGAGGGGCTTTGCGATCCGAGTGAGGAAATGGATTTTGTTATCGCGCCGGTTTTAAGCAGGGAGGCGTCTCAACCTGATTCGCATGGGAAGCAGCCCCTCTGGATGTTGCCTGTGAGAGTAGACGGGGACGGGGGTGGTCCTGGAAGGCAGCTGCAGTGCTGGCAGGACAGGTTGGAGAATCCACCTGACTTGCCGGCAGATCAGGTGTGGGAGGGGACAACCCACAGGGCTGGGGGTTGGGCACCTGGCTCAGGGCAGCGTCTCCTCCGGCGGGAGGGCACTGGGGAGCCACTGCAGGCTGGAGGCAGGGAGTGATGGGATTCTACTGGGGTTTAGGAAGCCAGCCTGGGGGCGTAGCGTAGAAACCGAGAATCCCGAAGGCCCTGGCCAGGGAGGAGGAGGGGAACGAGGGCGGTGGTTCTTCCTTCAGGGGAAGCAGTAGGTGTAGGCGGGGCCTGCTTGCTCCCCACGTTCGGCCTCAAACGTCCTGTACCATCACCCCCGCCTTCTGGCTTCCCCGAGCCTCCCTGAGAGGAGAGAGAATGTCGCCCTCCCCAGGCAAAGGCAGAGTTCCTGTGGCTTGGGCATCTCCGTCTCCATCCCCACCCGATCCCGCCCTCTCCTCTCCGCCCTCCAGAGCCCGGAGTCACCGGAGGAGTGAGGGCTGCCCCGCAGCTCTGCCCTGCCGCGCTCTGCTGGAGGGGATTGGAATTAAAACCGGGGTGGCTGCACTTAGACTAATGATGCTCCACACTCAGAATTGCTGTGCTAGGCTCTGATTTTCCTGATGCCAGAAAATCCAGTCACCCCCGGTTGTATTCGGTCTGGATGCAGTGCCGACGGGATTTGTAAAATCCGTCCAGCGTGCGGTATTCTGATCATCGCCTGTTTGCGGGGATGGCTGTCAACGCAGGCAGCAGGCGGGCAGTTCGTTCACAAGGGCCACCCTTTCGCAGGTGGGGTCAGATGTGCGGCTCGGCCGCAGAAGCCAGGGCCTCCGGCCCCGGCTCTGGGCACACTGCAGCTGCGTGCAAGACCGCCTCCCCTCGCCTGGGCTCTCGGGGTCCCCACGTGTGACCATCACGTGGGACAGCAAGCTTTCCTAGAACCTGCCCCCTGCCCTTACCAGCCAGACTCAGGGGAGCACAGGTCCACATTTCTCAGTGACTCGAGGTCATCCAGGAGTGTTCATTCTTGCACTTGGGAGAATGTGGCGGCTCGGTCTGTTTGTGCTGGATTCTCTTTCCCTTTGTCTCGGGCCGTGGCCTGTCACTTGTCTCTTGTCACTGGCTGCCCCTTGGCATCGATGGAGGCCATGATATGTGGAGGTTGGGATCTCAGGCACTGGGTTCAAATCCCGGCTCGTCCCTCGGCCCCTCTGACCATCAGCAAAGTGGGGATGATATTCATGATATTCATGATATTTATTCATCTGCAAAGTGGGGATGATACTGGGACCTGCCTGGAAGGGGGACGGGAGGATGGATTGTCACCTCAGCCACCTGCCCCGGGCACAATCAGCCCCGAGGACGGGAGCGACACCCTCACGCTCACCACCTTCTTGCTCACCCCGCC